TTCATTTGGTGCTCTGCCATTTTGGCAGGGTCTTATGGCATCCAGTATTTAGAGCTGCCTATTCTCAGCTCTTCTCTTAATTTGAAAATAACTGTCACCCTGTTTCATTTGATGAAGTAACGCGCTTTTCCTTACTCTTTGTGCTTTTCCCAGAAAGCGTCTTAGTAGGCCTAGGTAATTATAAAACCAAGGCCTAACTCAAAAATTAAAATTGTCATAGTATGTAACTCAAGTTAAAATAACACTTTTCATTACCCGTGCAGCTTAATCAAATATTATATGTCATTTTAAACGACCTATTGGTATTAACATATTAACATCAATGTATTTTTAAAAATTAGACAGCGACATTTTCTCAGAAGTTGTTTTGTAGACGTTTATCTGTTGATGAACTTTTGACCTCCTGAATTCTGCAATGAGATTTTCGGGTCGATTCAGCCGAGACGGCCCGAGTGGAGTTTCATGTAAATGTTTCGTACGGAAAAAAAATCGCCCCCCGCTGGATGAGTCCAGGGGCGGAACCCCGGTGGGGTAAAACCCCGCCTTTCAATCATGTAATCAACATTTGTAGCAATTAACTCGCAAGACCGCCCGCGCCTCATAGATTCTAGGTTAGCTGGGTTTTTGTAGAGAAAGAGAAATTTTGTCGGTAAATTTATTCTCGAATGAGATAACAAAAGCTCTCTAATGACTCAAATCACTAAATTCGTCAGTTATCACACATAGACCTATGCTAAATGCGTGACAAATTTATGATCATGCATGTGTCATCCAGAATCGCTTAGAAATGCGGGACCGTCCCGCACGATGCGAGACGGTTGGTAACTATGCATTTGTTAGTGATATACATGCTTACATTAAATTGATAAAAATCACCTCATTACACCTTCGTTTGCCAGCTGGCTCTTCCTTACTTAATTCTCGATCCCCCAATTAAGCTGCACGTCTCCATCAGCCCCACCCAAGGGGTGGTGTCGGTGGGTGGGGGAAGGGCCTCGTCTGTGAGAGAGCCTTCTGTCTGCAAGAAAAACAACGGGAAGAGGAAAAGTATGTATTTTCTACAAAATTAGTAGCAGACTCTAAAATCGATTAAATAAGCCTCGTCTATCCCCCCACCCCTGTCACCACTTTCGACAACGCCCGCTTTGCTCTCGTCGAGGAAATTGACCCCCCCCCCATTGTCAGGGATTTCGGACCCCCGTCGGGAAAATCATGACCCCTGCCCACCCTATAATGAAATATCTTAAATAGGCCATCCAATGACCAAATCACAGTAAGCTGCATCACTACTGTTTCTTCTACCCACATCAGAGAATAGAAAAAACTGTTTATTATAGAGGGTTGAAATTCGTCAAACGGGGTTTCGGCCTACTAGGTTTTCATAATTTTGGGTCTGTAAAATGGAATTCGGCAAACTGGGTTTTGTTAAAGTGAACTCGGCAATCTGGGAATCGGCAAACTGGGTTTCGCCAAACTGGTCGAATACGCTATTATCTGTCAGTTGGCTTATTATTCCGAGTTGACATAATTATTACCTCCGCCAACGAAGTTGGCAGGAGGTTTTTTTTTTCTGTTTATTTATTATTTAGTCATTTATTTATCTCTCGGCATATTTGTTGTGAACAGCCTACAGCCCAAATTTTTTTTGATCAGAAATTCGTCAAACCTGGCCACAATGTTCCTTTACCCAAGATCTAAAGCTGATTAAATTTTGAAGGTGAGAGTTAAAGGATTTTTTTGTTTTAATTATTTGCCTGCAGCCCATAGTTTTAATCACAAACTTGTCAAACTTGGTCACAATGTTCCATGACCAAATATCTCAAAGTATTTGAATGTTGAAGGGTAAGCTTTAAGGTCAAGGTCACAGTAAACAAAAAACGATCCTTTGAAACAGTTTCTTTCAGAAATATGTCAAACTTTGCCACAATGTTCCTTTACCAAAGTTCTGGAAGATACTAAATGGTGGAAGTCAGTGTCAAAGGTCAAGGACACAATGATCGAACAACTTCCATAATTGTTTGTCGTATAGTCGTGTGTGCGCGCTTACGGGCTTGCCGGCAAAGTGTAAACAAACATATGAACATTAATTTCAAACTAATATATGAGAAGTCAGTTTGGTCTAGTGGTTAGAGGAGTGTTTTCCACACTACCAATTTCGGGTTAAAATCCCAAGGAGTCTACTTGTTTTGTTTTGTGTTTTTTTTCTAAATAATTTTTTTATGGGGACAATATGCCGGGGAAATTTATACTGAGGAGGAGAATTATGATGTGGGGGAGGTACTGTATGCACTCTCCGAGTGCCCTTTAGTTTAATTATTATTGTCGTATACCACGGTAGACGCGAGCGAAAAACACGTGGACATTCACATTGGCACTGTTGGTGACTTAATGCTGTCAGATAGTCACGATGTGTGGAAAATGGAGGAATGTTGCTACACCATTTTATAGTTTCCATTACAACACCATCGGTAGAAATTGTAATTCTGATACATAAGGTGAACTAGACTTTAATTTTAATGAGGTAGCAAGAAAAATGCAATATTATTTTCTCCTGACTAGGTAATATTTTTTCTACTAGAATATCTCCGAGACTGCACTGAATACCTTAAAAACAATGACGAGGCGAGTAGTGGTGACTACGTGATTCAGCCTCATGAGGAAGGCGAACCGTTCAGAGTGTACTGCGATATGGACACTGATGGTGGTGGATGGACGGTAAGAAGCAACAACAAAAACAACACAAAAAACAGCAATTTCAATAATAATTACAGCACTTACAACACTACCGAACAGCAGTACCAACAAATATAACAACACAGGCCAGTACGCATGATTTTTTATTGGGTAGGTGCAAATTTGTGGAAAGTGGACCAAAATGGGGGTGGGGGTGGGGCTAATGACATAGTTCCTCTGAGGTCGAGTGGGCGTAAACCCATCGCGGTCAGACATGCTTGATATTTTGAGGTCTTAATAGATCTTGAAGATGCAATATGAACTGAGAATTCAACGTTTCATCGATAGCAGTCCAGGGAATAAGTGGGCGGTAGAGGGACCTTTAGAGATAGAGGGTCGATATGGAGGGGGCTGAGATAGAAAAATGCCTTTCCAAGGCTTAAATTTTTAATATAATTTTCTTTATTTTCATGTAGGGGGAAGGGGCCATACCCTGAATGCGCCAGTGGTTTTGAGAGCAAACAGTGTATTCAGTGTTTTTATTTTCTAATTTTCTGTAGTCTATTTTTGATAGGCCTATCGATGAATACAGGAACTATGATATATTAATGAAACTGATCTATACAATATTAAATCAATCTAATTTAAAGCGTTCTGGAAATGTCATTAAATATACCGGGCTAATGTTCATTAATGAGATTAAATTTAAAGAATATTAAATAGAGTCGGAGTAAAATAATTTCCTACAAATTGGACATACACATAGCCTAGATGTGGAACGTGCCACTTACAACGACGTGGTGTTTCGGATTTTCACTGCATATGTCAACATTAAAATTATACCACAAGATAAATAAAACATTATTAAATTTACACGTAAAAGAATAAATGCCTATAATTTTCTATAGCGCACATTGAAAAAGCCTATAATTATTGAGCATTGAAAATACTAAAGTGTTATCATAAATATTAATGTTATAAATAAATGGAATTACTGGAAATAGCGAATATGAACAAATAATTACAAGTGCTTTAAGTTGTGGATGAGATGGGTAGACGTCAAAAATATATATAATCGAGAATTCATAAAATAAGCCTATACTGATCCGATTGGGAACAGGGTAAGCAATAAATCCTTTTGTTGTTGCTTTGAAGCGAATTTGTCCAGCCAGAGAGGGACTTTAACATATCGGGGCCTTGGCGGATTCAGGAATTTGAAATAGAGGAGGGTGCAGGAAGGGACGTTTACAAAAATAGAGACCCGGGTCCACCCACCTCAGCCGGCCCCACCATTGTTGGGGATGAGGAAAGATGTGATTTAGGCTATGTTCACACACACAGCGTAAGGCTGGCTTAAGCATGGCGTAGCGTACGCCTTTGTGTGTGAACTAGGCAGTGGCGTTGTTAAAGCCACTCACTACGCCACGTCCTTGGCGTTATTAACGCTACCTGCAGACCCCAGATTAGCTATCGCCACTGAGCTAACGCCAGTGATGCTTGAATGATTTCACCTCATTTCAAGAGATTGACCAATCACGATTGCAATATATTAGCTACTTTGGTCTCTTTCCTGTGCTCTCTATAAATGAAATGGTAAAGGGGTTCTTTTTCTATTGCATTTTACTTAGTTATAATGTATATGATTTGTTGATTGTGTTTTGTAAGATATTTTAACCTATTTAGACTGTCTATTAAAACCTGCAACACCAACAATGCTAGAAAAATCAAAGCAAAATTGTTCATTTAAAATACAATAATCATATAAGTTCACTTCGAACAATTCACAGATTTAGAAGTTTCACTGATGCACTGTTAATTTTACTACAGTTAAAGAACCCGTACATTATTTAAAACTTAAAACTATTCCCCCATATGCCTATTTAAACGCCAGCGTTAATATAGCGATCGCCGTTTGTGAACACTTTTGAATTTTAATCCGTGAATTAGCTTACGCCTGGCGTAAGCTACGCCAGTCCTACGCCGTGTGTGTGAACATAGCCTATGGCACCTCTGATGGCCGGAAATGGCACTCGTAGAATTAAACGAGAATAAGATAATCCTAGTGAAACCTATAGAAAGAGAGAAGATGAGTTTGTATGTGGCGAGCTATTGACACAAAAGCGACGGGAAAAAACACTGAAATGTTTTAATAGGTTTTTAATACAGTTAAAAATCCTTGCTTGTACGACAATTAATTAGAGGCAGTCCTATAGTTAAAAACAGCTCTGATTGGTCGAAGAGAATTGGTGGATGGATTTCTGGAACGTGTGAGAGTGTGTCTTGAATTTTCTACCCGGAAAATGTGGAGCTTTAGATTTTTTTGTTTGTTTGCAGGGGGAGGAGGTGCGTACGTACCCGTCGCATCCCCTGCATACGGGCCAGCAACACTAACACAACCACCACCGACAGCAACAACAAAACAACAGCAGCAGCAATACCAACGACAATTACAACACACTACCGACAACGACTGAACAACAACAGCAATACCAACAACAATAACACTACCACTACCACTGACAACAGAACAAAAACAGCAATACCAACGACAATAATAGCATTAAAGCCATGACACGCGCGCAACTGATCTTTTTAAATGACAATCCGTTCAGACTGCTGTGGTTAGCCATTAGGGCCATAATGAAAGCACCGTTAACTTGTGTTAAGGCCGTTACGTTTTACCAGAAAGCGCCACTTTTTCAGAATTTAAGCTAATCAAATTCGAAGAATAACTCCGAAAGGGCCATACTAAAAGCGCCGTATTTTTTTTTAAAGCTGCGCTTTGTAATAATAAAAGCGCCGATTTTATAAGAATGGCCGAAAGGACAATAATGAAAGCGTTGTTAATTTTGTTATAAAGCTGTTGCGTTGTACAAAAAAAGCGCCGCTTTTTTGGAGCTTCAACCAATCAAGAATAACGCCGCAAATATCTAAATATGTTTAAATCAAGTCAAAATTAAAGTTTATTTTTCTAATACCCACCCTTATTATAATATTGACAAATTTTTGCTTAATCATTTCTCCACATCCCCCATCTGCTCCGTGTTGTATCCGTGTTTTGTACTTGTTTCATTTATGAATTTATTTCAATGCAAATTATGTTTTCTTAATTATATGGGTTGCTCGCTACAAGTGCCACTTGATAAATGGTATTTCTTTTTGTAATTTGGCGTATACATTTTGAGCAGTTAATTTGGCCTTTTCGGCGCTGTGCCGAAAAGGCCACTCTCGCACACAAGTTTTCTTTTTTTATGAAATCCGGTTGTTTAATGTTTATCATTTATTATCAAATTGTGTGATGAAATAAATGTTTATTTGAATTTAAATTTGAATTTAAAAGACGCCATAATATTTTCAAAAATAAAAAAAAATAAAATAACGCGGCGCTTTGTAGCAATAATTATAATGTTAGCCATCAGGGCCATAATGAAGCGCCATTACCCTTTTTCAATGCCGCTGCCTTGTACCAAAAAACTCCGCTTTTTCGGCATTTCACCTAATTAAATGACAAAAATGACGCCAATGGTCATAATAAAGGCGACGTAATATATTTTTTAAGCATCGCTTTGTAAAAATAAAGGTTGGCCGAAAGGACCATAATGAAAGCGCCGAATTTGAATAAAAGCGGCGTTAGTTTCATTTTAACGCCGTCACATTGTTCAATTTAAACCAGTCACAAGCTTGAAACAGCGCCGAAAAGGCCACATTAAAAGCGCCGTATTATATATATATATATATATATATATATATATATATATATATATATTGCAAAAGCTAAAAATGCAAAAGCTATGAAAAAACGGTGTACAATCATTGAAAGTTGACTTGCGGAACACAAATTTATTAAGCTATAACAAATCAAACGGATATTTCGATAGCTCCTGCTATCTTCATCAACGTTAAAGTGAGAAAACTTGGGAGATCTTACATATACATAAAGAATAATAAACCAATCAGAATCAAGTTATCAATACAATTAGTTGTAAAAAATGTACATAA